ATTTAATTTTGCATTTGCCTCGCAATCAGCTGATCCTCCCTCCCTACCGTGATTTACTACCTCTGGTGACAGCTATGCAACCCTATTAACACTTCCATCTATAGCAGTCCCTCCATAATAGACTGCAGAGATGGTTTGTGGGAGGTAAACTCTCTCAGCTTTTGCTTATCCTGAAATTGTTTAATCCCTCCTTCAAATTTAAATGATAATCTTGCTGGATAAAGTAATCTTGGTTCCAGGCCTTTCTGCTTCATGGCATTTAATACATCATGCCACTCCCTTCTGGCCTGTAAGGTTTCTGCTGAGAAGTCTGATGTTAGTCTGATGGGCTTTCCTTTGTATGTGATCTTATTTCTGCCTCTGTCTGCTTTTAATAGTCTGTCCTTATCCTTGATCTTTTGATTACAATGTGTCTTGCTGTTGTCTTCCTTGGGTCCCTTGTGTTGGGGGATCTGTGGATCTCCATGGCCTGACAGGCTATGTCCTTCCCCAGATTGGGGAAGTTTTCAGCAACTACCTCCTCAAAGACACTTTCTATCCCTTTCTCTCTCTCTTCTTCTTCTGTTATCCCTATAATGCGAATATTGTTCCACTTTCATTGGTCACAGAATTCTCTCAATATTCCTTTTTTCTCTCTGTGCCTCAGCTTCTTTGTATTCCTCTTCTCTAGTTTCTATTTCATTTATTGTCTTCTCCACTGTATCCAACCTGCTTTTAATACCCTCCATCATGTTCTTTAATGATTGGATCTCTGACCTGAATTCATTCCTGAGTTCTTGGATGTCTTTCCATACCTCCATTAGGATGTTGATGATTTTTATTTTGAACTCCCTTTCAGGAAGAGCCACGAGATCCATATCATTTAACTCTTTCTCGGAAGTTGTATTAACAATTTTACTCTGGACAAGGTTCCTTTGGCATTTCTTGTTTGTATATGGCACCCTCTAGTGTCCAGAAGCTCTATTCTGGAGCTGCTGAGCCCCTGAAGCAATGTTGGGGCTTGCAGGAGAGCAGTACTGCTGCCTGGGGGTAGGAAAGAGCTGTTCCCTGCCTTCTGGCTGCTGTGCCTGTCTTCACTACCTGAGCCAGTGGTCCAGTCACATAGGTATAAGTTTTTGTCCCAGAGCAGCCAAATATGGATCCCTGCTTTCCACAAACAGCCAGAGTCCCAGTCTCCCCAGGAACTCTGCCTGTATTAACTTTCCAACCCAGTAGTCATGCAAGTCTCATGAAATCCCCATGATATGTAGGTTTGTGCTCCCATCACAGAATTCTGGAGCTAGATATTCAGCAGTCCCAAGCCTTCCACTCCCTCCCTGTTCCATTTGTCTTCCTCCCGCCGGTAAGCTGTCGTGGGTGAGGGGCTCACGCCCCGTGGAGCCAGAGCTCTGGTACATGACCCCGTTCGCTGAAGTCTGCTCTTTTCTCCAGGTGTGTGCAGTCTGATGCCATCCTCTTTCCTGTTGCCCTCTCAGGATTAGTTGCACCAATTAAATTTTCTAATTGTATCCAGTTTTATGAGGAAGCCTCTGTCTCTCCTCTCACACCACCACCTTTAATCCCATTCATTCTCATTTCCTTTTTCAAAATAGATAGGCCATAGTTGCTTCTCTGTGGAATTTTGTCAAGGCAAAGCCTTAAAAAGAAGGATGGTATGTCCTCTGCTTGCATTTTAGTCTTTGGCTAAGGTCACCTGGCTGACAGCTCTGGCCTCTTAGGAAAGCTTTTCCTCTCCCACTACTTAAAATATAAAAACAGAAATAGGTTTCAAATGGTGTTAATTTTATGTTCCCTTTGCAGTGTTTTTCTTGTTTGTTTTATAGTGCAAATGTACTGATTTACGTCTTATAGTCTGGGATGTCTTTGTAGGAAATACCATAAATAATCTAAATTCTGGAATACTATAAACATATGTTTCTGAAAATGCTTATATTGTTAAAAGAAATTTGTATTGATATTTGAACTATGGGTAAATAGTCTCAAATATCACCTCTGGCTTAATCAACACATGCCTTAAATTCCACATATCGAATTTGATCATTGTTTTAAAATAAACTGAATTTTAAGTATGCCACAGCGTTTCTCCATATTTCCATCCTGCTATTTCTTTTTTTCTAAATGAAAACATTAACTCCTACACAGAAACAATTTCCACATCTGTAGAATAGGGTAACACTAGCTCCATTTCATAGGTATTTGAGGATTGAAAAAGATGTGAAATAAAGAACAGGACATAAAACATAAAAAGCATTACGTGTGTTAGCTATTATCCACTCCCCAGCCCCAAACAGGTCTCTCACAAATAGGACTACATTTTATATGACTCTTAAACTTTGAGTATAAAATGTTGACCTGAAAAAAATTGCCAGATCCATCTGTTTTATACCAAAATACTATGAAAATATATAATATATAAATGTCTTAGACATTTATTCTGTGAATTTTTATCCTAACATTTTATTTCTATTTTTTGTACATTGCTTTTTCCTCCCATACCTAAAAGTTTTTTCTTCTTCTACATAGTTTTGAAATAATTATGACCAGATGTAATTATGAAATTACACATATTGTTTTCCAGGCTTTCCAGCTCATGGGAAAGTGATGTCACCACCCACTCTCTGACCCTGGCTTCTACCACCTGCTTGGAGCTGCTGCTGATATTAACAGGGAACAATGCCACTCTGCCCCCATCCCTCCATTCTATGGATTCCTTTCAGGTGAGGAAGAGCTCCTTTACCAAGGTGTGATTTCTCTATTTATTTGCAATTGTTTTTTAAGGATCCTGTGTTTCACAGGAGATAGCCCACCAAATTCACCGCTTCAGATAATGATAATAATAAGCACAGTGCATGTATTGCCTTGTCTTTTTTTCAATAAATGAGAAAATAGAGGCTCAGAATTTATTAGGCAAGTGTTTGATAGAGGCAGAACTCATATCTCTCTAACTCCAAGGTTTGTTCTTTTAACTTCCGTCTTCCCTGCCTCTGAGAGAAATTGCAAGAACATCTGGTGAAGACACTTCTTTGCCCAGCTTTGCCCTAGAATAAGGATTTTCAACCATTATTAGTGGCATTGCTACTGTTAGCTTACAAATTACCAAAAAGATCTTTTAACAGTGGTGGTACCCTATCCATTCTCCACACAGTCCCGTCTATAGTTTCTTACTCATCACTTTCCCAATCCTCTGTGTACTTGCTTGTGCTCCTAGTGAAGGACATGGTCAGACAGAGCAGCAGATGTGGTCTAATCAGGAAAACCTTCTCCCTGGCACTTAATTGTCATTGACGTGGCAAATGAGAACCAAGATGTTAACCAGTTGTTTAAGGTGTGACTCTCTAGCTACTGAATGTAATTGAATATACCTTTGACTCTTGACAATGGAAAAATACTGAAAAGTCCTCTCAGGCTGCTAAGAGGGTCATATGCCTTGCTTAGAAATGAGTAAACATGGGTGCTTTCTACCTCTGAAGTGTTGCTCGTGGGTCCTAAGGTAACTTCAGGATCAATGTATATTACTTGGTAAATCTCTGGTAAAATAAGACATGTGGACTTTCCTATGAATTACAGGTTACAAAATTATTTTTTAAAAATAACTGTTCCAAGGGAACACTCCCAAACATATCTTACAAGGTGAGCATTGCCTTGATACCAGAACCAGACAAGGATACCACTAGAAAAGAAAAATAGAGGCCAATATCCTTGATGAATATAGATGCAAAAATATTCAACAAAATATTAGCAAACTGAACTCAATAATAAAAGGATCATACACCATGATCCAGTGGGATTTATTTCAGGGGTGCAAAGATAGTTTAACATCTGTGAATCATATAACATGATACACTGCATTAACAAAATTTAGGATAAAAGTCATCATCTCAGTAGACACAGAGAAAGTATTTGACAAAATTCAACATCCATTCATGATAAAAATTCTCAACTAAGTGGCTATAGAGGGAGCATATCTCATAGAGGCCATGTATGACAAGCCCACAGCTAAGATTATAGTCAATGATGAAAAGCTTCTCCTTTAAGATCAGGAACAAGACAAGGATGCCCACTCTCACTGCTTTTATTCAACATGTATTAGAAGTCCTAGCTAGAGTAATAAGGGGGAAAAAAAGAGTAATCCAGATTGGAAAGGAAGTGAAACTGTCACTATTTGCAGATGACATGATAATATGTATAGAAAACCCTAAAGATTTCATCAAAAAACTTTCAGAACTAATAATTCAGTAAACTTGCAAGATACAAAAATAAATATACCTGTTGCATTTCTGTACACTTATAGCCAGGTAGCAGAAAGAGAAATTAAGGAAGCAATCCCATTTACAATACATCAAAAAGAATAAAATACCTAGGAATAAAATGTCCATACTACCCAAAGCAATCTACAGATTCAGTACAACCTCTATCAAAATTCCAGTGGCATTTTTCACAGAGGTAGAACAAACTATCCTAAAAAAAACAAACAAACACAGAAGTAGAACAAAACTATCCACAAAAGACTCTGAATAGCTGTAGCACTCTTGAGAAAGAATAATAAAGCAGGATATATCATGCTCCCTGGTTTCAAACTATATTATAAAGCTATAATAACCAAAACAGTATGGTATTGATGTAACAGCAGACACATAGATCAATGGAACAGTGTAGGGAACCTGGAAATAAATCCATGCATACATGGTCAATTAGTTTAAGCAAAGGAGTCAAGAATATACAATGGGGAAAGAACAGTCTCTTCAATAAATGGCATTGGGAAAACTGGAAAGCTGCAGGCAAAAGAATGAAACTGGACCATCATACACAAAAATTAATGCAAAATGAATTTTTGAATTGGACATAAGACCTGAAACCATAAAATCCTTAGAAGAAAATATAGGTTGTAATATCCTTGATAAAGATCTTGGCAATGATTTTTTTAACCTGATACTGTTGGATTCTCCCAGAGGAGGACGCCGCCCCAAGTCACTCACAGAAGGCGTCTCTTTATGCAACAAGCAAGAGGAATTTATTCAGGAACCAGCTAGCTGGGGTCCAAGTGTCAGCCCGACGCAGCGGGTCTCAACAAGGACCTCGAGCACTCAAAGCCAAGGGTTTATATAGCATTTTCAAAAAGGCAGTATTTTTCCATAAGCACTTAACTTTTCAGGCTGGTGCCACATCCTGGGAGTTTAGCAAGATAAGATCATGTTAGGGTGGTTTCTTGGTATGTATGAGTAACCCACACGAGGTTAACTGACTAAAGGTCACTGCTGTTGGTGCTCATGATTGATTAACTTGTTTTTCACCTTGTTTTTCAAGGCCTTTCTGAGTCACATATTCAGAAAATGGCCTCTGGGCTCTTAAGATGGCTGTGCTTAGGCTAACCTGCTGTCTTCACTAAATGCTTAGACTCTACAATACCAAAAGCAAAAGCAACAAAAACAAAAACATTTAAAATTATTGTAGAATACAATTTACCTGGAGAAAAAAAAAGAGGCTTCAGTTTTGGCACTCTATGCCCTTGGAAATCTCATGCACATGATTTGGGTGGTCTGGAGCAGCTGGAGTTAATTAAGGTATAGGAACGAACAAAAATGGTTTCCTCAGCTCTGGTGCAAGCCTGTGGAACACTCCTTATCTCTCAGATGAGTATAAGTTTGCAAGGAAGGCAAGTTCATGTTGAAAGGGTATCTGGCCATGACCGTCCTTACCCAGAACGACTCCTGAGACATGGGCCCACGCAAGAGAATTTATTATCTGAAAGAGAAAGTGGCTGCTCCTAGAGAGAGAGAGAGCGAGCAGCAGCAGAGCAGTGCAGAGAGTTGTGCCTTTTATTGTGGCTGATCTGCTCAGCCTGTTGCCCTTGGGGAGGGTCGGGATGTTTAGAGATAAGGTGGTGATGGCAGGGTTCTTGTTTGCGGAGCTGAAGAATGAGCTTCACAAATAGTCAAGGTAGGAGAGCAAGGTGCAGGCTTTTATTTAGAGATAAAGTGAAAGGACAGAGCTCCTGGATCATGCCAGGAGGGGACAAGAGAGCCCATCGTTGGTGCATTGTCTAGGGGGTTTTATAGGCAGTTGAGGATTTTTCAAGAACATGAAAATACTTAGGGGTGGGGACTTGTTAAGTGGTCCCTGAATATTAAAAATTAACTAAACTGTAGGAAATTTCCTGCTGTGCTTTCTCTCTGGGACACCAGTGCCTTGGTCTGGGAGCATATCAAAAGGCTGCCTTCCCAGCCCCGAAGGTGGGCCGAGATGTTCTCTACTTGCTAAAGAGTCTTGCCTCTTGAACTTCCTGGGTGTTAAAATGCAATCTTATCTTCAAGATCGAATTCTTCCTGCCCTTGACTATGCTGTTTACAGCTGGGTCTGCATGCTAAGTTAGTTGTTCAGTTTGCAGAATCACTTTGTCAGATCTGAAGGAGGAGAGACAGCACCTAGGCCTGGGCCTTTTAGTATGCCAGAGTGAATCTTACACATGGTTACAAAGGATTAGCATAATAAAACATGTGCTGGGGAACATTAACTGATCTCACTGAAGAATGATTCTAGAGCTCAATATTTAACAGTTTTAGTAGAGGGGGGTTTCCTTGCATGTAGTTACATTGCTCTGATTTCAAATATCCTGCCCTGCCCCCTCTGGAGGCCCTCACCCTACTCTGACTACATCCATGGTCCCTGTCTCCGTGGGGCAAGTCCAGACAAGCCCCAGGCATGATTCTCACCAGCTTATGAGCTTGGGATCATGGGGTAAATGAAGGATAAATTGCTATATTCTTACATTCCTCCCTTTTCTGTTTTATAGGTGGTAGACGATTTGGGAAGGGGTGAAGGTTAGTCTTCAGTAACTGCTTCCTGCTGATTAGGGACGATGAAGTTCATTTTTGTATTGATGGGGGGCGGTCCTCAGATGAGCCCTTGGTCTGCAGTGGTGATGGCATTTTCCAGGTTTAATAAGGATCATTGTCTTTGGAGAGGGGTTGGTAATCCTGTAATATAAACTGGTTAAAGGTTTGGTTAGAAATTTTTTGCATTTGGGCTGATTGCTAAGTTTATGTAGGGCGGCTGAATTAATAGCATTTTGGGGGACATATGTGTAGGCAGAAAAGCAACCTGTAGGGCAAAGGGAATTTTTAATGGTGCAATCTTTTGGACAGTCTGAAAGAGAAGAAAGGGCTGGTGTTGGGAAGATAGGTCTGGTGGGAGAATAAGTGTTGAGACCAGGGTTATCTATCTTGAGGCATGACACATGGCCATTGTAAAGGAGGTCTTAGGACTCTGTGCTGGCAGAAACTTCTTCAGTGATGAGTGGAAGCAGAGATGAGCAGCGCAAAATGCGTAGAGTAAGAGATCCCATCAGGGTGGAGTAGGAACCTGTGGGAGATTTGGTGGGAGGGGAATAAGCTGAGACAAATGGCTTAAGGTGGGAGTTGTGTATCCAATGGGGAAGACCCTGGAGTTTAACTGCAGTTGGCATGGAAAGGATTACTATGTATGGTCCTTTGCCATTTGGGATTTGGGGATGGTGTCTTTGTTTGGAACGCGCATGGTTTGGAGTTTTTCCTGTCTATGGTAATGGCTTTCTAGCGCCGGCAGAGCTGAACTCTCAGGTATGTGACCTGAGCGGCAGAGAGCTGAGCTTTAGAGGGTGAGACCTGATAGCTGTGTTCTGAGAGAAAGTTTAAATGGAGAATAGTATCCTGTTGAGAGGTTTGTAGGGGAGGGACTGCATGGGAGGAGATCATCTACTTATGTAGGGTGGAGGATGGAGCTTGAGAGAGTAAGGGATTTGAGGTCTTGTGCTAGAGCCTGTCCAAAAAGGTGGGAACTATCCCTAAAGCCTTGGGGAAGGACTTGTTAAGTGTTCTCTGAATATTAGAAATTAACATAAGGAATTTCCTGCCTTGATT